ACAGTATAACCTCGCGTGAGTCACTTTCACTTCCGAGCTCGGCTTCCTGTCTGAATGACGGATGGAACACCTGCCTCACACTGTGGTTGTGATGTTGGCTAAATGACCAATCCAAGAGTGTGACGGGCCTGACTGCAGACGCCTCCCGAACTTTAGGCAGCAAGTAGCATCCAAGCGGTCTACTGCTGCGCCTACGGGTACAGAAGCACACTCACACGTGCGCTCATATTCAAGGGAGCCGTCGGTGGTCAAGAGCTTCAGAGGCTCTCTCGGCTTTGACTTTGCTTGGATTTGTGAAGCCGTTTGTGCACCTACAGGATAAGGATAAGCAGATCTACTTTTAGTGCTGTAGGAAGCCTTAGAAACCACTTATACGTGGTGGCAAGGGCACCCTAAAAGCTGTGCGGAGTCCCGCAGACGTGGGGCATGTTGCATGGTGCCCTGCGATTACACACCAAGTTCTTAGCATAGTGCCCTGCACGCAGCAGCCTCTCCAAAAATGACACCTGCTGTTATCAGCTCTATTTCTAACCCCAAGAAACACTCAGGTCCGCTGGGCCCTTCATTTTATTTGAGGTTGTTTCTCACTCATGCAACTCTAGCTACAGGTGAGGTGAAACATCAGGGCCCCCCTCCCTGTTGGGAAGAAACAGGAACCAGGTGGGACCCAGGCCGCCCCCCTCCCCCATTTCACACATGCACCTGCTCACTTCTCCAGGGCTCTAACGACTCCCATTGTCGTTAGAGGCTAACTCCCTAACCTGGAAAAGTGGGTAGGGATTGTTCGAGTGTGTCACCTTTGAAAAGACTGGGGACCCTGGTGGGGGCAGCTGTCATCAACAAAGTCACTGAAAAAAAGATTTAAAAATTCAGAGATCTCAGGGGCACCTGGGTGGCTCAGTCGGTTAAGTGTCTGACTTGATTTTGGCTCAGGTCATGATCTCATAGTTCAATGAGTTTGAGCCCCGTGTTGGGCTCTGTGCTGTGAGCTTGGAATTCTCTGTCTCTCTCTCTCTGCCCCTCCCCTGCTTGCTCACTCTCTCTCTCTCAAAATAAATAAAATAAACATTAAAAAAATTCAGAGATCTTGACCGTGCTCATCTGGCATGGCTACTATACCCTGTGGTTCATCTTCTGAAAGCTGTATAACTTAGTGTCAAAAGGAACAAGAACAACAACAACAACAACAAAAAAAAAAAAAAAAAACAAAAAAACAAAAAAACAAAAAAAGGAACCAGAAGAGGACCAAGAGGGCCGGGGCCTGACCCCATAATTGGAGCTCAATAAATATTTGTTGAATGAATAAATGAAAGAGAGTGAACACCTGAAAAACAGACATGTTTCAAATTTATATATTATAATGGTAAATCCAAAAGAAAATCCAATGTATAAAAAGAGATTTCATTAAATGTTTCCTTTAAAGCTATGAGTAATAAACTCACTGTCTCATTAAAATACTTGCTAAAAGTGCTTTGCTACCAGCTAAGGTCTCCTGATAATCCTTGAATTGTCTGGCCCAACACGACAGAGGGAAAAGATCTTTGGACAGAAGACGTGGGTTTCTGCCAGGTTCCACTATTTATGAGCAAGTCACTTCACTCTGAGCCTCAGTTCCCTCCTCTAGGTAATGGGAGTAAGAACGGCCCCAGTGACCTCACAGGACTACTGTAAAAACCACAGGATGACAGATGTGAAAACACTTTTTAAACTACATGTGTGACCTTCACTTAACGTCTGGGTCTTGTGACACTTAGCCCCTTCTTCACCTCCCCTCTGCCTATCCAAATCTTCCCCAAGTTCAAGGTCCAGCCCTTCCAGAGCTCTCCACTTGACCTTGCATTTGATCCGTCCCTTCCAACGCCGCTTTTGCTCGTTGCCCTAACTGATCACATCTGCCAATGAATCACCGTTCACACAGAGAGGCATGCGGTGGGGTGTTTCCAGCACATGGAGATGTGCACTGGGATCCCGGCTATGGCACTTGCTACTTGAGAGGCCTCTGGCAGGCTATCAAACACCTAAGTCTCATGTACAAAACAGGGATGATAACGACTCTGGCAGATTTGCTGTGAGAAGTAAATGAGAAAATTCATGTGAGGTACTCAACACAATACTGGTGCATGCGCAAAGTGTCCAAACTGTTATTATTATTGAATACTGCTCCTTGATGGTGTTCTCAATTTGTCCTATCTCCCCAAATGTCTTGGTCCTATCCATTTCCCACCCTGTTCCAGAAAAGTGCTGAGTGCACAGTATTTTCTTAAAAAAGACATCTGTTGGACTGATTAAAACGAGTTGCTGTTCCTCTCCAAACAGGTGCTCAAATTTTTATTGTAGGCCCACCGCAGCCAGCTGGGCCACATCAAAGTCCACAGGGCAAAATACCCTCGTCTGGCCCTATTATCACATTGATACTGTGTGCGTGAGTCGCAAAGCACTCAGCCCAGCCATTCACACCAGTGAGCTACCCTGCCTCACTCGTGGGCTTCCTTAGTCAACAGCCTGAATATATTCCAAGGAAATAGATTTCATGTGGGAACTCTGCCAAAACTTGGAGCGCTCCCCTTCCCGGAGATATGAACTTTAATCTTATAGGTGCAGATAGCTCTAGGGATTATACCTACGTCTGAACACAGAAAATCCTACACAGCATCTCGGGGCCACGTTTTAGGACTGCATTATAGGTGAAACAGTTCTTCTGGTGTCCTGCTAACAAACACCCTTGGGCGTCAGAAACTTCACACAGAAATCTGCACCCTAGCGAGTAGTGTTATGGATAGACTCTAGCAATTTACAAAAACAAACGTGATGTAAAGCTATGTTTTGAGAAGAGTACCTACAAACTCCTAATGCCTATGTCTTATAACATCATCAACAACCAAATTCTTAAGTTCATAAGCTGTCGGTAACTATTTCCAATCGCTCTCATTTGCTTTTCCACTTTTTAAAAAAAAATGGACCCAGAGATCACAAAATAAAATTGGTCTTTGGGAACCATATCACACTTTTCCCAGGATGAGCGAAAGATTGAGAAGTCACCCAGGTACACGTTTCCACTGTTCAAACTTTTGTCTCTTGATGTCTGAGGCCTTCCTGCCCGGTAACTTGGAAAGCTGATCCCCACCCTGGTCTTTCGCTGATGTTCCCTTATCTTCCTGGACTCGAGCTGGGAAAAATGAAAGCAGCGATGTCTGCCCCCTTCAAGAGTGTACAGTTTACCGAATTCTGACCACTCGCATCTTCCTCTTCGTCATCCCCCACTTTCTCACACCCAGAATTACTGTTTTCCAAATACACAGCACAAAGGCGGAAAAAGGCCTGCTTTGTTGGACGTTAACTGAACCAAGGACATGATGTTACGTTTTGACGATAAATGTAAATTTTCTACTAATAGGCAAATTCCTCATTTCAAATGGCCAAGTCGAGTGGTACTTAGATACAGAATTCGAACCAATAAGGTTAGGGAATGGAAAGTACAGAATTCCAACTCATTAAGTTTAAGGAACTAAAGAGAGCACAATCCAAGAATATTCTCCTTCTGGGTCATAGCATTTCACTTGACTATTAACTTTTTGGTTTTTAGTCCTCTTAACAGTAAACAGGTGGTGAGTGTAGTTGCTGGCCTCAGTAATATTCTCCCCTAGGATGGAAAGATCTATGCGCCTTCAGTGGTTGCATATGTAAGACGTGCTGATACTCCCCTCCTATTTTACCTCCATCAAGTATCCATTTGATTTCTCAGTCCTTTGGCAACCCACCCTTTCTCCTCCTCAAAGCAAAAAAAGAGAGATCTCAGTGACAGAATACTACGCCATCTGGCTTTCACGTTGTTCGGCTTTTCAGTACCCCTCACACTGGGTCTGAACAGCAATCCTACTTCCTTCTGCTCTCAATTCTCACCAGAGGTCTGGCAAGTCTGGCCTCGGCTTTTCATCACTCTCGCCCCAACGGTCTCCCATTTTCTGCTCCCTTCTTGCGCGGCACCCGCTCTCAACCTACTTTTGGGGTGGTGAAGGTGTTCGCGATGGGCAAGGGTGAAGCCACAAGCCACCATTTGCTCTCCGCTCTTCCTTAAGGGGGACTGCAACTCTTAGTGGCAAAATCTGAAGTTGTTTAATTGTTGGTTCGTGGTCTGCAACTGACAAGCTGCACATGCCAGGTCCTTCACGTATGATATCTGTAGCAAACGCTGCACTTGGAAAGAGTGGCAATGTTTTGGACTACCTCTCATTCACCAGGCGGCTACCCTCGTCCGATGGGTCTCACAGGAGATGCTTTGGCTCCGTTTGACCCTGAGGTGAGCTGGCAATGAGGATGGTAAAGACGCAGCATGGCTAGTCCCTCTGACCAAAAACATTGGTGTGAAATGCCCACAAATCCAGGAAGGGGAGAGCTGGAGCTATCAAGAGGTGGTTGGGCGGACAATCGCACTTTGATGTTCCTTACGCTTTTTTGACTGTAGATTTAATTTAATTTTGTCATGGCAGGATTAGCAACCAGGCCACAGAGGTGAAGGGACATTATAATAAGACAGCATATTAATCCTCTATCCCACCCAAGGCAGAAGCAAAACCAAACAAATAGCGGCTTCCTGGAAATTGAATTTCTGTTATCCAGATGTCAAAGATGTAATACCCCAATTACACAAACTATTGCCAGTGAAGCATGCCAGCGAATATGCAATGGAAATGGGGTGAGCACAGAGCGACAAAACTGCTCAGTCAGCATCTGGCTCTGGGAGTGAGCGATAATTAGCACTGTGTGTAGACACTAATAAACATTTATGTCTGAAATTACAACTTTTAGCAATGTTAATAAGGGATATATTGGCAATCTGTAAAATAAAAGGTCTTGAAAAGAATGTCATACATTAAGCAATGGCAGACATTTCCCGTTCTGGCACAATCTTTTTTTTTTTTTTTTTTTTTTTTTTCCCCTTCCCCCTTAATTGCAAATGGCCACACTGTTTTGCTGAGAAATTAATTGACATAGGAACCTACCTAAATAAATGGGTTGTGTCTCTTTGGCCTCCCCATTAACATCGTTGCTGAATTCTGAGATCTTATATACCTCATGGTGATAATCTGGGATGAGAAAACAACCAAAAATTACAATTCTAATGGCGAGCAAGATATGAATAAGCAATAAAGACTAGACTCTCGTTATAGAGAAGATGTATAATCTATACTTTAATTTATAAACATAATTTCCAAGAACTCGGTTAGTCACGGAATTCATAGTCTTTAGTAATCCCTAAAACTTTGCTTACTCTGAAAAAGTACGCAAACTTGACCTATTACTTTGACTTCAGAAAACGGCTTTGCTGATCACATAGTTTTCCCAGTAAATTTGGCCCACAGATGCCAATTACTAGGCCTCTTTTCTTTCAAATGACAAGCATGTTTATAAGGAAAAGAAAAACCTTGCCCAATCATAGGCCGGGAGGGCGGGGGTGATTCCAAAATTATCTCCACAACCCATTTCCATGAGTACAGTATATCAACAGCATGCTTTAGGGTAACCTGACACTCTGTTTTCTCAGTTTACCCAGAAAAATACCAGCCTTTAAGCAGCTTACAGGAAAGCACACACGAAAAAACTGATTTGTTATTTCAAACATAGTGTAGCTTAGATAAGAAAGCAAGATTCTCATCTTTCACACAAGTGAATCTTTTGCATTCAGCTATGGCACTTTAATATGTAATAGTTTATTTTCTAAAAATGCACCTGCAGAGCAGAGAGAAGAATCAGACCCGTAATTTAAAGAAAGAAAAAAAAAAAGGAAAAAGAAAAACTTGCTTCGTCAGGCAAACTTTAAAATACAGTACTTTAAGAGCTTCTTTCTTTTCTACAGAGGCTCCTGTACTTGTCAATGGTCTATTTCTGAAAAGTAGGATTGTCTAAGTAAGAAAATAGAGGTTCCTTCTTAAAAGCTATTCCTTTTTTGTTTTGTTTTCTTTGGTGGCTTGAGACCTGACAGGACAAGGTCTACAAAACCACTCTCACTTTTCAGATAGACTAGTTAAGTTCCCTGAGGTCATAAATAAGGAAAGCAGCCTACCTTCCCCAATGAATCAAGAGACCAACAGGCCGGTCACATATGGAGATTTTTAAAGTACAAATGACTGAGTAATCAACACGGAAACAGAGGGAAGAGCCAAATATTTTGAATACGTAAAACTATGTCAGGCCTCTTTCATGCAGCAGTATCCAAACTAAATCAGGGAAAACAGGTATGAGGCGATCTTCAAAATGTCTACAATCAAACCATTTTCAGGCTTGCCGAAAACAGGCTTTATTGAATCTACATCATATAGGTAGCTCAGCTTAGCTTGAAAAGCTCTGTTACTTGGAATTGCCCTCTAATGTTCATCAGCTCACATGTGACTTCCCCAGGTTGGTCGCCTTGCTCTCTCTACTCTGATGCCAGTGCTCTCTCTACTCTGATGCCAGTGCTCTCTCTACTCTGATGCCAGTGCTAGATAAAACAACAGAGGAAAAAGGGGACAGGTTCTGTGGTTTGCTTTTGACCTCAAGTTGATTCAAAGAAGATTATTTAAGCAAGGTGGTTCTCAACTCAATATCGGGACCCGGGACATTAGGACGAAAAAAGTCACCTGCCTCTAATTTAAGGTGACACAATGCATTTGGATAGACATATTTTTATGTCCGCTCTTAAGTTCTCAGCGTTTTTTTAAAAGTCCTATCAGGAAAATGAAGCCTCTGACAAGTAACCGAACACAGACAAGACGGTTCAACTTTCCCCTTCCCCCATAAAACATTCCTAAGCCGGAAGACCGTGATGTACACCTGTTAAATCGTCGGGACCCGGCTGGATTATTTTTTTTTTTTTAAGGATACTTTTCTGACCGATAAGTGATCTATTCCAAAACACCTTTCCAACCCAAATAACGTCTCTAGAAAAGACGCCGGAGGTCAGCAATTCTCATTTTGGGCTCGTGCACCTCATGAGCTTCTTTCTGGTTCTTAACAGAACCACCACCTTTTTTGCTTCTGTTGGGGGGAAAAAAGCAAACCCACAACCATTGGTCGGGATTCGTGTGTGCACGGCCTGACGGAGCGGCAGCTCTCCCCCACCCCCCAACCTAGCCACAGGAGTGGAATACCAAAGAAGGCTCTCGGCTCCCCAAGTGTCATTGTTTGCTAATTTCCTGATGTGCCCTCCGACTTGTTTACGCTGAATAGCATCCTGCCTCCCCCCGCACAACTTTGCCCGCCGCGCGGCGTGTGCGGCCGCGGCCCCCCCTCCACCGCGGGAGGGGACTCGGGGGTCCCGGAAGCCCGGACCCCCGGAGTGGGACGCGCGGCGCGGGGCGGCGGGCCGGGCGCGGGGCTGTTTACGCGGCGCCAAGTCCTCCCTCCGCCGCCCGCACGCCCCCCGCCCGGCCCGGCGCGGCCCGCCGCTTACCTCGGCTCACCAGTTTGAAGCTCTGGGATTTCCTGCTCCTCTTCCTCTCGGAGAACTCCATGGTGCTGGCAGGAGGCAGGAGGCAGGGGCTGCGGCCGGGGGGCGGCCGGCGGGCGGAGGGAGCGGCGGCC